GACCTATGTTCACTGGCCCCTTTGGACTCATACTGACATCCTGGTGTTTCTGTAATTTATGGAACACGATTTAGAATATTGCATGTTATGATTCCTGACCATTGAATTTTTTTTTATTGTCATTTTAATGAAATATAATTTTGATGTACAATGCATTTAAAAAAATTGCCAATGCTTTCAAAAGCAGTTCAGGTGTGATCATGAACTCTGTCTTATTTTTAACTGAGTTGCATTTGTGCTTCTGGTATCTTGAAAATATTTGTAATTTAGGACCTGGAAATCATTTACTCATCACATTTGATGCAAAATATTTAATGACAAAGAATTCAGATAAAAATTGTGGCAAATGCAAAAATATAAAACTTATTTTCTTCTTTTAAAATGGGTGTTTCCACTTTGACAAGATAATAGTATTTTCATTAAAATACATCAAAGAAAATTTTCCAAGTAGGTTTATCTTTAAAGGTTTTGCATACAATGGAAGTATGTAACATGTACCTATAACTTAATTTTGTATCTCTCCACAGGCGGAGGTGACAGCCTCTTTAATTATGTGCATTTAATAAGCTGTATATTGTTCAATTTTGAATTTAAAAATTAAAAACTATCATTTGCAAGTAACAACAGTGACCCTTTTTATTTTGTCAACCTGGATCTGTTTCACATGGCCCAGCACTTCCTCTGTTAGGACCCTACCTACGGTAGTAATGACCTCATTTTCACGATTTTAAGACCTGGTGCCAGTCCCATGTGCCTCAACAAAGTCCAGAACAGTGGGATTAATGGCACACTCCTGATAGAATTCCTCTAACAATGCCTTCTGCATCTGTCCAGAGGGGTACGTGATGCCTTGTTCTTTGTATCCATCACAGTTAGTCTTCGCATGAACTAGAGTTGCATACACACGTTTTGCATTGTAAGCCTTCTGAAGAAAGATGACACAGATGGCCTCACTTCTAGTGTAACCATTGGCTGTGTAAACAATGCAACCAAAAGTCAATATGCCTCCTCCTTCAGAAACAACTGATCATGTCAAGTTCCAACAACTATAAGCAAATTAAAATTTCTTATTAATTAAAATTATTTAACTGAATTACTAAGTGACACATCTTATAGCACAGGACTTTCTTTGAGCAGCTGATATGTACTTGCCTCATAAAGAAAATCTCTGCATTTATGAAACCAAAATAGAAGTCACAAATGCCTACCACTGAAATCTGGCCTCGTCAAACATTTCATAAGAAGTTAATTTTTGATTAGAGAAAGCTGCATCAATGCATCCCCCTCAAAGCCTGAGAACCACCCCTTTTTGCCTGTTTGGAACTGCTCATTCAACACATTTGCAGTTATCCTTCTGACTGCTATAGAATAAAAACCTTAAATTGAGAAATGAGACTCATTCTAAACAACAAACCAGGTACTTCAAAATGGTCTCTTACAGCAAAAATAGTTCTTATATATTGTTTGCATTATGTTCAACAAAACTGATGCATAATATTTTTATAAAATCTGCCCATCCATCCACACATCCAGCCCATTTAAGTGTCGAGGATTTATACCTAAACAGGAAAATAAAATGATGCAGAAATACTGAAAATTACCAACAGATAATTCTATGTGATCACAAGGAGAACAAATTGGAAATGTGTGCACAGCGTAACAATTCTGGTGCGTTAACTTTGTTACTGGCTCTAGATTTTCAATGCGTGAATACTCCATCATAAGTTATGGGAGAGGCTGTTTGTTCTGTAAAAATATGGCCTTTGCAATTGAAGTCAGTGACATAAGATTTGTATGGGGTCAGTCATTTGTGCGGGTGAGGTGTCTGTTGCCTATCTGATGAGATTATGACCACCACGGAGGATTCCACCAAATGGTTGGATGGGCAGGGTGACTGGCTGGGGATTCTCAGAGCTCTTACTGACATACAGAATGAGGGCCATATTGTATGATTTTTATCAAACGCAGAATGTGTCAAAATATTCTAGTGAAACTCCCCAAATTACATTTTATGAAATCGGTTCAGTATTTCTTGAGTTGTTACATACAACACAGTCAGCCAGAAAAATATGGAAAAGCTAACTGAAGAAATTTTGCAACTTTAGTCACAAACGTGACAAAAAATGACACTTAAAATACCTTAATTTTTAGTAGGTACTTGGAAAACTAACATGAATAAGAAATGCCTGTGTAGATAGTAGTACGATAGAAAACTTGCACTTTGGTGCACTAAGCAGTTCAACACACACATTTTGTAAGTTGAAATGAAATAGCATGAGAGTGTCAGACCATTGTCTGTATTACACCTGCAAATTATAAAATCACCCTAAAATCTCGCACTTCTTTTTTCCCCTTTTCATTTGTTTATTTTTTGAGTTCACCTTTGTTGTAGGATTATTATGTTAAGCTGATAAAACTGATTGCTAAATATTGGCTGCCTGAAGGCAGACCGATGTCTCCTGAAGCTTAAGGACAGGCCATCCCCCGTGTCAAAGTACCTACACCCAGTTTTTTTTTGGAAAAGGAACGACTTGATTTTACGGGCGTCTATGTAAATGCGCAGAACCTATGGGGGGAACAAGGACCTTTCACTTCCCGGCCTATAAATCCAGCTCCTCACACCCTATTGGCATATTCATCGCCCTGATGACGGAGGCAGTATGACCTCTGAAACGTTGGTTAACATCGACCAGACTACACAGCGCAATAACACAGAAGACGGATATCTTCAAGGAAAAGAAGTTTATTAATAATTGCGACAATGAATAGGCAATATTTATCCATAATGAACATTGAATATGTTCTCACGGGGTGAAAGTGTTTATTGTGGTTCGTCGGGGTTCTGACATCTTGTTATTTCCTGGTTGATTACCAACGTTTCGGAGGAGGTGGAGACTACATTCCGCATGAACGTTTGCAAGGATCTGCAAGACCACATGACGTCACCGAAAACGGTGTTCTGTTTTATATTTCTCTATTGGCAGCGTGTTGTCTGTGGAACAGGGCTTACCAGACTTGACCAGATTTTCTTGTCGTTGGTTTCTTACCTTTCAGGAAACAATGACTTACTCTGTGACAAAGTATAGAATGTAGATTGCTCTGAACTTAATGACCTCACAGATGAAAGCGGAAGAGAATTGGAGTTCATTGTACCATGTTTGAATTTAGAAGAGACTTGCTTAATTAATGCGGTTAAAATTGTATGTAGATGTACAAGACACGTTCATCGCTTCCTGTTTACCCGGGCCACTCACATCACCTCATCTGACCTGACCGTGTGGGAATCTGCGGTTCAATAAAATTATCAGAGTATTTTGAGGTACCTCAGTGTAGTGAGGAGAAATCACCGTGGAGGATACGGGCACAGCGTAAGTTCGTAATGCTCTGGTTATCGACACAAATCACTAGAGTGAAACAAGCAAGTGTTCTTTTTTACTTTCTTTCCATGTAGTGTTCTGTAGTTGTTTTGTACGTTTACTGATACAGAAATGCGTTAAGACCCTGCTGTTAAATTATTCCCGTATTTTAGTTTTCATGGGGAAATTTTTCGATAAAGAGCAACACCTACAGACATCTGCTAAATTATTTATACTTGTTTGATTTTAATATAAAAGCCGAATTCATGGAAACAGTAAAGTATTACTCAGAGTGTATGATTTGAGGTTTTATCTTCGGTGAGTATGAAGATTTATATCTTCTGGGTTGTTGCGCCGTGTGGTATGATAAACAACAGAATACAGAAATCTTGATACTACTCAGAGTATTTTAATATTTTATTGTATTTAAAAATAAACAGTTTGAAGTGGGAATTAACATATACCAAATTTCTGTCATAAAGTTGAGATAGAACGATCGATTGCTAAAGAAATTCCATATTCTGTCTTCAGAGCCACAGACTATTAATGTGTTGCGACAAAATTTGGCGTGAGGAGTTGTTAGCTCCCTGCCCAACTCTCTATCAGGAAGACCACCCATTCTCGGCTGTTCGAGATAACTTATTTAAGATATTTAAACCACTAGCCTTACATTGAAGTATCCAACCGCAACATGAGGACGCACCAAGCTGTTTAGTCCACTCTTCTTATTTAAACACAACACGAGAAGCTCTCAAAGTCCGGAATCCTATATTCATAATCGCCCAAACAACTTAACATAGATAGGACTTGAGGTACGTAATGTGATTTGTGCTAGTAGTTCCCGCCTCAGAAGTTGGCAGTGTAGTTATGCTGGTGTTGCTAAAGACAGGAGTTGTACCAAAATGTGCCGTCTTCCAGAGTTCCGAGAAAATCGAACAACTATGTAATGCATTTGTCTGAATTACTAACAAAGGGTAAAAGGATATAAGCACGCGTTCGCTTTGTTATGGTCACGGGAATATTTGGGAAAATATTCTTGTAGTTGGTGACTAGAACTCTTGTGATGTAGATGTTTAAAGATGTAGTTGATTTGTTGTCTTGTGTTTCGCCTGCAAGGGGTTTCCGTAGATATCTTAGGCTGCATCTGATTGTCGATAGGATCTGCATTATTGTGAATGGCTTCTCTCAGACTCTTACGACATTCCTAATCCACTGCAATTCAGCCTTCGTGCGCTTCAAAACCAATAAACCCAGAAGCAGGACCAAATAAACAAATATTAATATACATTTGCATATTTTGGACTTTTTCTATCGTCTCATCTTCGGATAAAGACGCAAGGCTTCGGAAGCCAGGCCGTGCTTACGTCATGAGGTAGAGAAGATCGGAAGTTTTCTGGAATTCATATTGGGATAAAGACGCGAGGCTTCGGAAGCTAGGCCGTGCTTACGTCATGAGGTAGAGGAGATCGGAAGTTTTCTGGAATTCATATTATTGACAACAAACATGCAAGCTAAACTGGTGCATGTCTTGATGGGGTGTGAAGTATAATCATGTAGGGGAGGCCTTTGCCTCCTCAGATCTTGTATATTATCACATGCATAAATTAAAATACATTTTCCAACAGTTATAATATAGGCCCTTCACATGCTACGAGCGTGATATGTTAATTGTATTTTTGTATTGAACTGTCCGACTGAAGTTTGTGCAGGATGTAACGCTTGATGAAGGATTCTTATACGAAGACAATAACGTTGTTTACTCTAATCTGTCATTATCGTTTGAACAAACTGAATTGTTTTATAACTACAGTGTGATAATTTTATTTGTGAACCCAAGGACATTTAAACAACTGTCGGCAGCCTGGAACTCTACGAGGTTATTTATGGCTAAAACATACCTGGCGTTCATTGTAGATGGGCTTACAAATAAAATGATCGTTCTGTACGTACACCGGAACCAGTTCAGTATGCGGAGTGTTGCACCGCAGTGGTTAGCACTCAACTTCTTTGAAGTTTGCAACCGGGACACCAACTGTTGTGACAAAATTTTGTTGTCAATGGCGGCAAATACTGACACAGTACCTGGTAATGGACCACGTCTGCTTCCTTGTACTTCATTCTTATATCATTTTGCCATCATTAATTCATCGCTACATAGTCGAAGAAGCTGACATGACATCGCTAAATAAATCGCGAAACAGTGGTTTTAAAGCCCTAGGAGCTCACCTAGATAATCAACCGTAATCTATATAATTTTAGTAAGATTTTTATGTTATGTTTTTTTATATCTATAGATAATCTAGTATTAACTGTTTCGGATAGGCCCATTTATTTTACTTCTACTTAGAAGTATAAGTTCATATATCTTCATTAGTATTTGTTTTATTAATATGTTTAAACTTCTGTTCAATAAGATTCAGCTATTATAATTTTGTCAACAATAGAATTCTTATCTGCAATGAATGTGGTAGTCGAGGTGTAATAGCTCCATGCATTCTTAACCTTGGTACAAGCTGGAGCTAAGTGGTCAGCTTCATTCCCTGGCCACTATAACCCCAGTGGCAGTCATAGACAAAAAAAAAACTAATGAACATAGATTAGTAATATCTTGTTAGCCTTATTTTGGCTTTAGGAAGGAAGGTCCCATACCTATGCTGAAGTAAGATTTAAGGGACGTTGAAAATGGCTGTCTTTTGGGATGTTCCACCATATAGAATACTATAAGCTCGATGAAGTTTCAGAGAAACTTATTACTTCGATCATGAGAGCATTTGCCGTCTTAATACATATCGCCACAAGAACCTGAAATTTTCAGCCTCCTTGTACATAGCACTGTCATTTAACAACAATGATTCTATTCAGTTTTTAGTTTCAGTCAGCCAGTGGTGCATATGGTTGTTTGTGGCATACCTTTCCCTTATGCATTTTGTAAGGCAAGACTGTTTTATGGTTATGTTCTTAAAGATGGCTGGAGTGTGTCTCTCCATGTATCTCCATCTGGTGTAGTGATGAGGTTACAAATTTTTGGAGCTTTACTTTGATGCGCCTTATACGTATTAGTGCTGTCGCTCTTAGATGCAGGACAACATTGTGGATCTATGTGTGATGTAGCGAAATGCTTATGTGATACAGTTTGTTTTATTTGCAGTGAGACAAAATGGCTCCACAACAAAAGACAGAAGTGCAAGCTGTTCCTGATTATATTCAGGCTGGAATCCGACTAGCACATCCACCCCCTGGAGAAGAGGTTGTCATCTCAGGTGTGGCTGGCTATTTCCCTGACTCAGGAAATGTATACCATCTCCAGGATAATCTGATGAACAAAGTGGACATGGTGACAGATGATGATCGGCGCTGGAAGCTGGGTGTGTGCATCTGTTTGCTACATTATTTTATATAAAAAGTTGCATTGGGTTTTGAATTTTCAGCAAGAAAACCACCTTGTTATTTCAGATCATAAAAATATGTGATTAATTCTTTCTGTAAAAACTAAAAATCTTAATCAAATGTTTTTACCTGTTATTAAACACGATGATTCCAGGAAACTGCCACTTGTTGAAACAATTCTGGTACCACTAATCTTCTCTCTCAAGACCTGTACACATATGAAGTTGAAATTTGAGGAATTAGTAACAATTAAATACAAGATGTTTCCTGTTGAGGTGGGCAGGAGGTTAAAATTGTGATTACTGCAAGGGATATCTGAAGTGAGGGACTCTTCTTCTTCTTCTCCTCCTACTTACATTTTACATTCCTGAGCACATTTCCTCAAAATTAGAATACTTCTGATGTACCTGACTGCAAATAAGGAATTAAATATGGAGAGCAGAGGAGATACAACATTACATGGATGTGTATAATTAATATAAGATGATAGATGCCCAGTGATAATTTTACATCATTGCTCTTTCACAAGTTGCATTAACATCTCTGCTTAATTATTAATTAATTAATTAATAATTTAAAACTAATAGGCATAGATTTGAATGCTTGTATGTACCCTGATGAGTTCAGTACTTTGTACACAGATCATCCTGAGATACCCCAGAGGACAGGGAAGATTTTGGATGTGAGCAAGTTTGATGCATCATTTTTCGGTGTCCACTTCAAACAGGCACAAACCATGGACCCAATGTGTCGCATGCTGCTGGAGAAAACGTATGAGGCCATTGTTGATGCAGGTGAGCAACTTTACAGCTAAAAATTGTTTAATTGATGTTATAATTTGCAGGTGTAATACAGACAATGGTCTGACACTCTCATGCTATTTCATTTCAACTTACAAAATGTGTGTGTTGAACTGCTTAGTGCACCAAAGTGCAAGTTTTCTATCGTAGTACTATCTACACAGGCATTTCTTATTCATGTTAGTTTTCCAAGTACCTACTAAAAATTAAGATATTTTAAGTATCATTTTTTGGCACGTTTGTGACTAAAGTTGCAAAATTTCTTCAGTTAGCTTTTCCATATTTTTCTGCCTGACTGTGTTGTATGTAACAACTCAAGAAATACTGAACCGATTTCATAAAATGTAATTTGGGGAGTTTCACTAGAATATTTTGACACATTCTGCGTTTGATAAAAATCATACAATATGGCCCTCATTCTGTATGTCAGTAAGAGCTCTGAGAATCCCCAGCCAGTCACCCTGCCCATCCAACCATTTGGTGGAATCCTCCGTGGTGGTCATAATCTCATCAGATAGGCAACAGACACCTCACCCGCACAAATGACTGACCCCATACAAATCTTATGTCACTGACTTCAATTGCAAAGGCCATATTTTTACAGAACAAACAGCCTCTCCCATAACTTATGATGGAGTATTCACGCATTGAAAATCTAGAGCCAGTAACAAAGTTAACGCACCAGAATTGTTACGCTGTGCACACATTTCCAATTTGTTCTCCTTGTGATCACATAGAATTATCTGTTGGTAATTTTCAGTATTTCTGCATCATTTTATTTTCCTGTTTAGGTATAAATCCTCGACACTTAAATGGGCTGGATGTGTGGATGGATGGGCAGATTTTATAAAAATATTATGCATCAGTTTTGTTGAACATAATGCAAACAATATATAAGAACTATTTAGAGAATTGGGGTTTTTATCGGCGCATGTTTCAGCGAGTCAGAGAAGACTTGGTTTTATGAGAAACTGCAAGTAAATGGATTTGGTATCACAGGCTGCAGCCGAGCCATGCTTGCAAACCGTATCTCTTACTGGCTCGGCATCAATGGTAAGCCATATCTGATTCAGTTAATTTATAACCGTTTTCATTTGTTGCTTTTTAAGGAACAAGGTTCTGTTTCTGGAACCATGTGAGTAAATAATGTGATTAACTCACAAACATGAATATTATGGAAAATAATTAAGAAAGTTTCATTACACTTTGTATGAATATCATGCTACTGGGGACCACACTATTGTGGTTGGTTTCTACTCCTTGTTACCATCAACATAATCATGGTATCCCTACTACCTTGGGTGGTAGGTAGAAACAATGTCAGTGATTTTCATTGTACAATACTTTTGGAGATTAATTATAATCACTTTTTCTCGTGCCTTTAAAACATGTTCATTTGTATTAAAAGATGAAAGTTTAATTCTTCACCATTCTGGACTGAACCTTGCCAATGGGCACATTCAAAATTTCCCTAAGTTTTTACACAACTATTTTGACTATCTGTTCTTCTTTTTTAATAAATAGTGCTATATGGAATTTTATAATCATGACATGTTGCAGGTCCCAGCTACACAGTAGACTCTGCTTGTTCCTCTAGTATGTATGCTCTGGAGCATGCATATAAGTCCATCCGGGATGGACACTGTAATGCTGCTATTGTGGGAGGGTGTAACCTCTGTCTCCATCCATATGTCTCTCTTCAGTTCTCACGTCTTGGAGTGCTGAGTCCACAAGGCATGTGTAAATCCTTTGATAGGGATGGTGAGTACGACTGATGTAGTTATAATTTATTGTAAATTGCTCCTGATAGAGTTATATATATGTTCAACAGAAATGTCAAACAAGGAAATATACTCTAATTAAAAATTTGAATAATGAAGAGGAAAAAGAATATTTATTTCAGTTTATTTTCTTATTTTATGTACCGCATTGGTTATGTTTGTTTGCTGCAGATAAAAATCTATTATTACAGAGCTATTCAATGTTGGTTTGGCTTGAGATGCATTTAAAGTAAGGATTATATTCGGTTGAAAATTTTAATCGTAGACTGTCAGCACCAAATTTTGTCAAACTCCATTCACCACTTTTAGGGATAAGGCATGAGGAAGTGTGGATGGATGGGTGGATATGACCCACATATTATGCATAAGTTTTGTTTAATGTAATGCAAACAATATATAAGAACTATTTTTGCTGTAAGAGACCATTTTGAAGTACCTGGTTTGTTGTTTAGAATGAGTCTCATTTCTCAATTTAAGGTTTTTATTCTATAGCAGTCAGAAGGATAACTGCAAATGTGTTGAATGAGCAGTTCCAAACAGGCAAAAAGGGGTGGTTCTCAGGCTTTGAGGGGGATGCATTGATGCAGCTTTCTCTAATCAAAAATTAACTTCTTATGAAATGTTTGACGAGGCCAGATTTCAGTGGTAGGCATTTGTGACTTCTATTTTGGTTTCATAAATGCAGAGATTTTCTTTATGAGGCAAGTACATATCAGCTGCTCAAAGAAAGTCCTGTGCTATAAGATGTGTCACTTAGTAATTCAGTTAAATAATTTTAATTAATAAGAAATTTTAATTTGCTTATAGTTGTTGGAACTTGACATGATCAGTTGTTTCTGAAGGAGGAGGCATATTGACTTTTGGTTGCATTGTTTACACAGCCAATGGTTACACTAGAAGTGAGGCCATCTGTGTCATCTTTCTTCAGAAGGCTTACAATGCAAAACGTGTGTATGCAACTCTAGTTCATGCGAAGACTAACTGTGATGGATACAAAGAACAAGGCATCACGTACCCCTCTGGACAGATGCAGAAGGCATTGTTAGAGGAATTCTATCAGGAGTGTGCCATTAATCCCACTGTTCTGGACTTTGTTGAGGCACATGGGACTGGCACCAAGGTACATTCTATTCATGTCTTAATAAAATGTAGGCAAGCTGGCATTCTTAATTTTAATTGCTGTTACAACAGTTCTGAGATATTACATGCATGTTATACATTCAGTTATATATTCAGTCCGCCCATTCATTTTGTGCTCATTATTTATAATAAAAATTCTTTCAGTATTATGGTCTGAAAGAAAAGATGCTTTGAGTTCATGATGTTAGAAGTAAACTGGCCATATGTTGTTACTGTGTTAACCACATTTATTAATGAAAGTTGCAACCCAAAGACAATGCATTCCTGATTATAATGGTGTGTTACAAGTGGAATATGTCTTCAGTGTTGTCCCTAGAATAAGTATTAAAATTATTAAAATGTGTGGTACACACACATAGTCCGAGTTATGCAATATCTAACACAGTCTTAACAGCATGCTTCTCATAAGTATGTATACTTCGGCTCACCTGGGTCTTCGAGGTAGAATTGCCACATGGACTTGGAGGTAGGTACGAACTTAAAAAAACACTATCTCTATCTTAGCTACTTTTGGGGTCTGGGATATATGCACACATGCCAAATTTAATGTGCATAGTCTAACTGGAAGAGTCTCGTTCAGGGTTGGAGACCATATGTTTCTCCAAAATGCTAATTCACATGTCCACATGGCATTGCTACCTAGAAGACCAACATCAACATCTTCGCTGCTGCGAATACCTCAAATCTAATGTAACCTTAAGATTGTTTGCTTGAAGATGATACTTTCTTAAACTGAATTCAGGTTGGGGATCCAGAAGAATTGAATACTTTGGATCAAGTATTCTGCAAAGGGAGAAAGGCGCCACTTCTCATAGGGTCAGTCAAATCCAATCTTGGGCACTCTGAACCAGCATCTGGGATGTGCTCTATCATGAAGGTTCTGATTGCCATGGAGACTGGTATTATCCCTCCCAACTTGCATTACTACAACCCCAGAGAAGGAGTGGAAGCGCTTGTGGAAGGACGCATCAAGGTACATTTTAAAATATGTTTCTTGTAAAGAAAAGCATTGTGGTGCAGTAACAGATTCAGATGGTAGTGTCAGTTGACATAATATTTGTGTTAAAATTGTAATCATTCACTGGAATGTTACTTTTGTGTATTGCAGGTAGTAACAGAGAATTGTCCTATGAATGTTAGACTGGTGGGTGTCAATTCTTTTGGGTTTGGAGGAGCAAATGCCCACGTTCTGCTACAGCGGAATCAGAAGAACAAAGTAAATGGTGGTGCACCTACTGATTCACTCCCACGACTTGTTGTTGCGTCTGGACGCACAGAAGAGGCAGTTGACGTCATTCTCAAAGATGTAAGTATGCCTTACAGTGTTACATGACACTCACTACTCACTGTAGTTAAATAAGGAAAAAACCACATTCTCTACAACCGCAGTAAAATAGAAAACATATGTACTCTGTCAATTGTCTATCTTGTTTGTTGGTGGGAAGAGGAGTATGAATAATCTACAGGCATCCGGAATTTTGTCTTACTTTCATCTCTCACACATTGAATTTTGAGCAACTGATTCTTGAAGGATTTGAAGCTCTCACAGCAGTGAGTAGGAAGATAGCCACCTTCAACTAATCCTTGTATCAGAGTCACAATTTTGATTACTTAAATATGATACTTGCATAGCAAATTGTTAAGCAGAAGGTGTGACTTTTATCTCCCCTATAATATTGCCATACTTTCCAGAGACACATTGTATAATATGAAGGATGACAAAGACAAATTGTGGGAAGAAGTGTGTAATGGCCGTGAAAGGAGATAGTTGAAACCTTGGTTCACATTAAAATGGCTGTCTTCTGGGATGTTGTGGTGCATAGTCTGAAATATCATTTCACTTCTACCAGACTACACAGCACTACAACCAAGAAGATGGAAATCTTCATATAGGATTTGAGATTTTAATGACAGTGAGTCTGTAGATTGCTGTCTTCTGGGTTGTTGCGCCATGTAGTCTGGTAGATGTTTACTGACATTTCAGAGGTCCTCGCTGCCTCCATCATTGGAATCTTCATACTTGCCACCATGGGAACTTGAAATCTCACTTAGTTGACATGTTCATGTTCATTTACATGATAACATATGATTTTCTAAATCTTTAGGAAATTCAAGAAATAGTGCTGTACAGATTTCCAGTCCTATAAATCTTGTTATGATGATGATAATGTTTGTAATTGTGATAAAATTTAATTTTCCTGATGGATTAGAATTCTGGGTTTGTGAGCAGTTGGTTATAGGATCAAATTCTACTGAAGGGAGAAATTTTTATTGCTTGCTGTCATAAATATGTTACGAACAGTGCCATTATCATCATTTTTGCTCGTGGTGTTGTAGGTTTGTGGGGTGGAGAGTATTTATAACTTGGATGTAGACTCTGACTGCATTAACTATTATCAAATGTAACTTACAGTTTTGCACTGTCACTGTATGACTGTTAGCATTTAAACAATATTTCATGTTATATTCATATACAGGTGTCATGTTGTTCAATTGTAATATGTCTAAAATAAAAAACTTAATCAAAATAATATATATAAATGCATCCATTATAATTATATAGTGCACAGGGATGTTGTAGCCTGAAGAAGATGGAGTACACATTCTGCTTGAATAGAAATTTATATTTTATTTGTTAATAAAATACTGTTCTTTTTGACCATATGCATCTTATTGGCTCTCAGTCAGCATGTTTTTTTTACATTTTACAGCATATCGAAGATAGCAGTGCTGTTTTGTTGACTTAGAGCCTG